TTATTTAATTCTAAATATTTTGCATCAACCACATTGTGTTTCGGGAATGTTTTTCTACAGTTGAAAATAAATGGGTATTACCTAGAAAGCTTAAATAAATAGTGTATTTTTTTTTTTTTTTTTTCTACGATTTTTTCATAAATATTTGGTATTTCCTTCTAAATTTCTGTTAGAAAAAAAAAAATTAGTTATCGATGTTTAATTAACATGAAAAAATAGTTATAAATGTTTAAAATTATCTAGTTCACGTAGTTTTAAGACCCTAAAAAGCTTTCTTTTTTTTTTTTTTTTTTTTTTTTTTTTCCAAAAAATCTTTGTCCAGCAAAATTTACCATCGGGTCAACAGCTCGCGCGTTAAGTAATTTGTCTCTCCTCCGTTGATCCACGCGTGCGAGTAACCGACCTAAATTTGAGATATCTATGGTCGCACGTGCGGGCGTATAATTGGTGCACTGCTCTCGTCAGTCCAATGAGCTCGAGGCTGTATTGGACGCACAGGGGCATGTGTTTCACGCCTCCAACAGGATGTACTTAAGTATATGTACCTACTCTCCGATGACGACCTCGAAAGCTGTGTGGGGCGTGAGATGAGGAGGTCGATCGATATAATAAAGCGATAGCTCTGGATGCGTGGGTGTCGCTACGATAGGCTGTTTTTTTTTTTTTTTTTTTTTTTTTTCAATAAAAATACTTTTACTTACCGTATTCTTTTGATTAAAAAGACATATAAAATTATGATCGGTTTGATTGAATTTGTAATAAAATCGAAGTGGATCACGCGATGAATAGTGACGAAGAGAATGAACGTTCGAATAAACCCCGAAGGTTGGCGCGCCATGCAGGGAGTCCCCCAGTTATGATAGAAAATTGATGCCCAGGAACATGGAATCCACAGGAAGACTAGTATACGATGCCAATGTGAAATATATGTTTTTAAAATAATGCTAATCTGAATATCAATTAACGTCATAAGTAGAACTTGATATTCATGCCGATTTTTTTCCACTATTTACAATTAATAAACTCGATCGTGAAATGGGCCTAAGAGTTATTATTGTTATGAATATTTGTCGATTAAGTGCATTGATATATTTATAATAACTCTATGATTGAGTGCAAGTGCAGGACTACTGGTCTGACCATATTATTGATTCGTTCTACTTGTTTTTTTACTGCAGTTTTCTACTTCCTTCACATTATATGATAATTTATTGAAAGTAATACCGATGTACTAACAAATTTTAATTTTTCTCTTTTGGCACGCTCTTTTTTACGTTATGCAACCCTTTTATACTCTCCTATTTAGTCAGAATAGTTTATTGGAACCATATTAAATGTATCAATGCGAAATTTATCAAGTAAAATCTATTTTTATGTGAACTGCGATACCTGTAATATTTTAAATTTAAAAAAGTTATTAAAAAACTTGAAAAAAAAGTTACTAAATTAGAATTAAAAAAAAAAAAAGTTTGTATCATACGAAAATTCAGCTTGTAATAAAAACTACTGCGTACAAAAACGTTTTAAATGACTTAATTTTTTGGAGAAATATTTATATAAAATTTTTTTACTACAGTTGAAGGTTAAAAAAAAATTGTTACGTCACTGAAACCTTTTTATTGTTCAATCGATACAAATAATTATTGTGATTTACTTACGGGGTTTAAAAAAAATTAATTGCAATGATTCGCAACAACACTTGATATTGAAAAAACACAATACAATAAATATGAGATGGAGTCACTGTATTTGATTTTTTGTGCACTGTAAAAAAAATAATGAAATAACAATTTGATGGGAGCAATAATTACATTAGTTATCCGACTGCACTTCACCAAACGTCTTTCGAGATACAGCAAATTTGCACGGAAGGATAGTGCATTGGCGGAACAATAGCTTGTGGCGGTTTAATACGCAAGAAGTGGGGAAATAAGGATCGACGGGCGAGCTTAGCCCAAAGAACCAGCTTAGATAAACGAAGAGTGAAGCCGGGAAAAGAAAAAAAGAGCGAAATGGTATTTTCCAATTCTCCCGATTGATCTTCATTTCCTATCGCGTCGCGATTTTTTTTTCCCCACCCATTCGGATCGATGGTGAGCTTCAATTTTCTGATTTTCCACCTTTTTCTTTTTTTTTTTTTTCTTCTCAAAGGGGAGTTTTCAATCAATCAATAAATTAAAATGGCTAAGTTGCATGTTTTAGTACCGATTTTATACCCTTGAATCTAAAAATGTAAGTAAATGTATTTGGAATAAGTAATGGGTTCTATAAAGCGAGTTTTACTGATTAAAAAAGAAAAAAAAAATCGTTTACTGGTGTTTGTTTAGTAAATTTATTAAAACAATTAGCTCATTTTTTAAGAAAATTTAAAAATTACTTCACACCTGCGCTATATTTTTCCGTTAACTCGTACGATCTCTGGAGTTATTTCACCAATAAACTTATTTCTTTAATTTATTTTTACAAATTAATATTGATTGTGCTTGAAATTCAAGAAAAACAAACACTAGCGCACCCTTACAAATTTTATTCTTCGATAAAATATTATATCTTCAAAATTAATTATCACAGTAATAGTCAATTAATGAATGGGTTGACGAATCTGGGCTGCTACAGAAAAAAAAAAAAAAAACTTTTTGAAATTACATGATGTTAAATCAGTTGTCAGCGTATTTTTCAGCTCTTACCATCTTTCAATTGGATTATATTATTATGCATAGTTTAGTAGTTAGTAGCTCAAAAGGCATAATCTAACATTTCATTTTTTTTAATCATGCAAAGGAAGGCTATCTTGGTTTATGCATATTTTACGTACAAAGAGGCGCGTCAAGGTTGGGAAGAATGGAGAAAAATGGGAAAAAACGTTTACGTGGGATGTGAATGACGGAAAATGCATGCAAGAATGAATTTTTTACTTAAGAATTGAGATTTCGTTGCTGCATCAAAGCACGCGTTGTATACATGCTTGAAGGGTAAGGGTTTCATGAAAATTTTTGATGAACTGTTTGTTGGTGAGTAAGGAAGCTTTTTTTGTCTTCAAGCTTTTAAACTTAATGGAATAAGTGCGTGACCACCGGTGTTGGATTTAGTAACAAAATTATAGCCACTAGAACGAAAATTTCATGATTATACATTTTAGAAGTTAAGTATCACATTTCTCGTTAAAAATGGATTATATTCTTATCGCACGTGTTGAAGAAAGTATTATTAAAAAGCTTAAAGAAGTCTTGTCTTTTTATGTCCATAGATGCGGTCTATAGCGATAGAATTTCACGAGCTGCGGACAGGTTTATAAAAATAACTTGTACATTATGTAATGTTTTATTTCATCAAAGATACGCCCGTCGTATCGTTTCAGAAGATTTTAAGTGTAATTATTAGTAAGTTACTATTGTGACCTTTTGCTTTTACTCAGTATGAACTATTCGACAAACAATGCGAAGAAAAACCACTCGATCGATACCCGCAAGTTTGTGAAAGTCGTCAAAAACGGAAACAAAAAAAAAAAAAAAATAAAAATACTAACGCGACCAACAGTAAAAAAAGCTTCTCAATATCCCTTTGTGCCTGCTATTTTTCCTCAACTCTGCAGCATTTCCATAACCGACATACGTATTTTTTTTCCACCTTCTACAGAGTACACGCTTAAAAAAAGGCTAAACAAACTGATACCCCTTAGCTTTGATCTCGTCTTCGTACACATAAGCATAAAAAATTTGTGCGTAAGATGTTTGGATACAGGTTTTTTTTTTTTTTTTTTTTCATCGTCACAGGGAAAGCTTTTCCGACTTGGAATGTCAAACGAATAGAGTATGCATATTTGAAAGTTTTCGCTAAACGGACGTGGATTAAGCTTGTGCACGTTCATAAAAAGCAGGTAACGCCTGGGAGTGATCGAATAGCGCATTACCCATGTTGAAAATCGCTTGAGCGGACTCCCGACCATTGTAATCTTCAACTGGTATCTCGAGCTAGATCGTAAAGGTATGATGTATACTTTTCGAGTTTCGTTTCGTGAAGAGAAATGCTATTATTATTTTTTTTTTTTTTTTTTTTTTTGTGAGTAAAAGGAAATCGAGTACCAACGACGTATGATTGTAATTATGTATGGCCTATTCCAATGGACGTGCTGTGATATTTGAGAGAACAGCATTATTCCTTGCACAATGTAACGATATCATAACGAGCCGCTTTATTGCGAAAAGTCATAATCGACGCTGGAACATTACAAGAGGACTGTTCGCGGTACAATAATTAGCTAATACTGTGCTCGAATTTATTTAATGAAATTTACGAAAAATACGAGATCGCTGCTGCTGCTGCTGCTGTACCGTTTGTGGCATTGTACGTTGAGTAATGTTGGATGTGTTATCATAGTAATATTTTTTAAAAATTTGTTTATTTTTTTTTTTTCACAACTTTTTACTCCTCGTTAATGCCACGATCTTAGATTATTAATAAAAGGAGATTAACGATGAGATTTAAAATCGTAATAGTATATATTTGGACTTGGATACATTTGTTTTGTTGATGACTAAAATAACAATTTTTTTTTTTTCAAAAATTTAATGCACTATTTTAATATTTTGTTTTTATTGTAAGAATTGGAATTGAATT